ACACACACACACACACACACACACACACACACACACACACACACACACACACACACACACACACTTGACAATATGTCTGCATACATAACACACACATCATAGGTGAATGGGACGAGTATGTGGTCAATCTTTTGGCAATCTTTCTTTCAATCTACTTCTAATTATTCCTGTCTGTCTTCCTAATAATGTCCCATGTTAACTGTGACTAGAGAATGGCACCAGGTAGGTCCAGTTTTAATGTCTTTATTTTACTTAACGAGATTAGGTTTTTTCGGTCCGTCAGTCTTCTTGTTTTGTTGGGGGGGGGTTTTGTCAGTGCAAAATGACCGTTTGATTTGTTTCTAATTAACCTCTGTAATGTTCCATATCATGTCAATGAGATTTAAAAAGGAGTGTCATCTAGACGTTGATGTAATTAGTCATATAAAGTATCTGAAACATTAAGCAGGTATAAATTTGATTTGTATTTTATTTTCTGACATTTTTGTAATAACATTCATTTATATTTTAGCGCTTTTATTCAGTCTCTACCTAAAAGTGACAGTTACTGATCAGTTGTTTGAGCCATGTCAAATGTGTGGGTAGTTGGTGGATGCTGTGGTGTGGTTTGCTTCTTCTGCATCTCTTAAATGTTTCTCTTATCTTGTTCTGTTACTAGTGACATGTGGCCATTATCTCTAGACTACTTTTCAACTGAGTGATACCCTGGCTAATGTGATTAACGATCTTTTTATTCATTGTGATCTGTGTTTCAAAGATCTTCTAGTGTGTACAGTGTTCTATTCTCCTCTTTGCTGTATCTGTACTGTGCAGCGTAAGATCGTACGCTAAACTATGAATTATGTACCATTAACTTTTTACCACATGTCATGGCTATGGATCGAAAATATGGATGGTTGGAAAGTGACTTTGGTTGGTTCTACTTCTTTACTGCCTGTTGTTTTTGTCTGCCTGACTGATTTTTTCTCAGTACTAAATGATGCCATTGTGTGTATGTGCGTCTCTGTACTCAAACAAATAGATTTTTAAAAAATCCATGCTCTTTATTTGAGTGCAGATCTGTTGTTGGTTGTGTACACACACCTATGACTTGTGTGCTGTAGTTTTTTTCTCATTGAATCATATTGATTCAGTTTGTCTTATTTACTGAGTTCAACATTGTTCTTACATCGTGTATATTCCTTTGTGACTTTATAACCACTTTATAAATGGTGCAATTCTTTTACATTGCTATGTGGAACTAACATCAGAACTGCTCTCTCTTTCTCCCTACCATTTCAGATTTTGTCCATAGCCGTCAACAAAGGACAGCTTAGCCAGACACTCCAAGCCCGGATATCGTGTTGTAAAATTCTGGGAAAAGTGTCATCGGTGTTTGAAAATTTTGTGTGAGTTTCCAGATTACGTTTCCTAGCTATATTGATGTCTTTTTGTGGGATAATTATGGTATGGAAAAATTGCCCACTGGGACGATAAAGTATCAATCTTATCTGATCTCATGTTATAAAGATGCAGTTGTCAAGGACTTGATGGTATGTTTTTCGGTCTTGAAAGTTTAAAAATAATGAGAATTCCTAGACTGTGAACTGCACACATACTCTCACACACAGACAGACTCACACACACACACACACACTCACACAGACATAAACACACACTCACACACGTATACACAAACACACACATGCTCATACATACATATACTTATACACATAAACATACACACTCACAGGAACGTTCACTCTCAAAGAGGCACTTTCATACACACACATCATTGTGCGTTCATGCTAATATGCACACACAAACAAACAAACACACCAAATACACGCACACATGCATGCACGATCTATTGTTCTTTTATTTGGGTTGTTTTGGGAATTTCTAAAACCTGGCATGGTCCTGTCAAACATGGACATCAAATTTGGAGGTCCTTCGTCCTAAATAACCTTTGCTGCATAAAAAAGGATTCGTTAAAGCAATGCCAAGCTTATTGCTAGCTCCACAATTCCTGAGGCCCTCCTAGGAATGTTGACTAACTCCTCATTGACCAGCATCTGTGGAGAAATGGTAAGGCATGAGTTTGATTGCAGTGTAGAAAAATGTTAATTGAGTGTCCAAGTTCCTCTGCTGGGGCTTTGTGTCTGACTCAGCCCAGGTTGGCCTTGGCAAGCAGAGTTGAAGCAGCCTGTCTCCTAAATGATTTAACGGGGCCAAAACATAAATTGTCAGCAACCGTTTTACTGTTCTAAGCCCAGAAAACATTTTTCAGGAGAGAGAGAAAACTGTTTCATTGCAGTAAAAAATGTACCTACGTTATATGTGCGTTTTTTTGTTTTTCTTTTCAACATATAGAATTATTTGAATTTTGGCAAAACTTCTCGAGCACATGCAACCAATATCACAGGTTAAGAAACAACAATGAAGCAAGCTTTTCAAAATTTGAGGTTTAGTTCATCTGAACAGCTGCCCGATGATATTCTCAATCCCTCTGCTTCTTCTTGTCTGGTCTCCAGCGTGAAGAATGATGTGCTGCCCGTGGTGTCCTCGCTGTGCGGTGACGTGGAGTATGATGTCAGGGCCTGCATGTGTGAGAGGCTCGACGTTGTCGCAAAAGGACTTGGGTGAGTTGCTCTTTCCTTGGTTGTGTTTGCTTTAGAAAGAAAAAAAGTCTCAAACATGTTTGTAACACTGATTGCTAATACAATAAATTCATCACTGATTTCAAAATTAATTTTTGTTTTTGGGGGAGGGGGGGGGAGGGAGATTAATTTTTAACCCAAATCGTGAAATTTTATGGCTTCAAGACAAAGGGATCACCAAGGAAAAGATGGATCAATGAAGTCAAAGACACCCTTCAAAGGCACAATATGACATTCTAAAAGCCAAAACATGTGGTTCGTTACATCTCCTCACAAACCTTGTGGTACAAAGAAGACAGAAAAAGTAAAAAGTAAAGTTGTTGTTTTTTTCGTACACTCTAACCTCTGAATATCTAATAAATTACTCAGTTTCTTCATATTCCTTATCGAGTCTCTGAGGTCTCTGCCAATGGCCATGGTTTTTTGTTGTTGTGCAGTTTGGCTGAGGTTTTTTTGTTTGTTTTACATCACTGTTATATTTTACTAGGATGTGTATGTATGTACATATAAATATATAATGTGTATAATATGGTGCTGGTGCTCATTACAAGCGGGTACTATTCTTATATTACTTGTCTTGCTTTACCAACCAAGCTAGCAAGGTCTATAACTTCTCTTCCTTTGTGGGTGTTAAAGGTCATCATCAGTTCATGATGGACAAAGCATTTTTATTATCACTCTTACCTCCGTGCTCTTAGCTTACTCAAGCTATTACAGGTCCAAAACAGATGGATAGAGGCAGTCACAACAAAGCCTGACTTTTTTCTTTCCTTCTGTTGTATCTATTTGTCTTTCACTCACTCCCTCTACTCTCGATTTGTTGTCGCATCTTTGGCTCTCTTGGTATCATCCTGGGCTATGATGCAGACGACTCTGGGCGGGTGGTTGGAGGGCGTTACCAGTAGGTCCTACTTCTTTACTGCCTGTTGTTTTTGTCTGCCTGACTGATTTTTTCTCAGTACTAAATGACCATTGATGGTCTTCTCTTTACTCAAACAAATGAAGATGACCCTGGTTCAAATCCTAGTGGAGCATTCTTTAATGTTGGTTGTTTTGGAAGCTTTCAAGGTGCCCCACCAACCTGGCTCTGTCCTATTGAAGATATACTTTTAATCAAAATGACCTTTGTGCTAATGTGTTTGGTAGATGCTCTGATATGGTTTGCTCTTTCTTTCTTATCCAACATTTATAATTCTATCTCCTCTTTTTCTTTGCATTTTACTTTCTCGTAACACCTCCTATTCTTCTGTACTTCTAATACTTATTTATGTTGCAAGTGCCATAAAGCTTTTGCTAAAAATAAAACCCAGAAGCGATGTGCTTCTCTTTACTGAGACAGACTTCATGAAGTATATTTTTTTTTCTGCCCTTTTCTGTAGAGATTGCTGGTGCGTGGCTGGATACATTACTCTCCTGCATTGACAAGCTCCCAAAGGATGTCGTGAAGAAAGATGTGAGTAATGATGGTAATGATGATGACAATGATGGTGACGATGATGATGATGATGATAAAAAAGTTACATTTTTACAGTGCCTCAAGAGTAGACTTTCTTCTCTGTACAATTTATCATAACCACAACAGACCCTCTTACATTCCCCAACATTTTTTAGCCTCATGGGAAGCATCCAGGGCCAGCTGTCAGTTTACTGGCTCTCCGACACTAACATGCTGACAAGATCTTTCAGTGCCTTAGCCGGAGGGGGTACCCATTCCTACCTACGGGAAAATAGAAAAATCTGTGATCCAAAAGCCATGGCGTCGATGTAGATTGGGATTTGAACCCATAACCTTGCAACTGTGAGTCCAACAGCCGAAATCACTAGACTGACAACACCGCAAGTGTACAGTGTTCTATTCTCCTTGTTCAGAAAAAGCAGGCCAGGTCATTAGTTTCGATTATGTCATGGTTGATGTTGTCATCTCAAGAGATTTCAACATTGTCTTTGGTTGAATGTTTCCAGACAAGAGTGGTGTAGATTAGATTTCTTGATTTGTTTTTGGATATCTGTGCATGGAGCAGTTGAGTCAAGCTTATTATCATATCGTTGAACTAAGGGGAAGAGGGGAGGGCTGTAACCACACTTAGATGTGTTTTGTTGTTGTGCTAGTACAGTACAAGGGTGGATCAGAAAGTAATGGACATTGCTATGATATCTGTCGACTAAGATGTTGACTTCAGTCATGAAAGCAATAGGCCTGCCTAATCAGTCTACAACATGTCTACTCTCAAACCAATCATGGTTGCTGCTGAGGATGGAATTTTTCTTTTGAAGTCCAGGAGTGTATTTCAAGGGACTGAAATTTTCAGGTTTGTGAGAATGAAAGCTTTTGAGATATTTCAGTGTCCGTTACTTTTTTATCCACCCTTGTACCATTACAACCATCGGGTTATCGGTACCATCTGCACTTTAACTATGCCGCATATTGTAGACAGCAACGCAAAGCTGAGTGTGCCAAGTTCCTCTGCCATCACACCTTCAGTTTCTATTCAGTTTGCACTGACAATCAGGTTTAATTGAATTGAGTCGAAGGCAGCCAGATTTTCCTCAGCAGAGTGGCAAAAGCTACCCTACAAATAAATGCGTTTGATTTTGAAGGTCACAGCTGAATTTAATCGACTTTGGTCAAATTATGCCAAAATGGTAACATTTGCCCCATCCATGAAGGCAAATCTGACTGGCTCCAACTCAGTCAAATGAATTGGACCGGCAGTGTGTGCTCGTTTTCATACTTCTAAGTCCCTATTAACGTTTGAAGGAGTGCTCCCATCGATCTGTTAATATTGTTGTCGACAAAAACGTGAATGACTCTGGTTGGCGTCCCCAACGCCATGCTCGTGATTTTGGTTTGTCTTGGAGTTTGTAATTTCTCTTTCTATTCTTTTTTTCGATCATAATTTTACCTTCCCCCCATTCTGGTTACGGCTGCTGAATTGTTGGTATCGAATGTTTAATCTTCTCAAAGTAGTATTGATACATTACTTTTATACACATAAACTCCCTCCAATCCTTTATTTTTGTTCAGTGGTTGTGGGGGACTTTTGTGAAAAAGGGAAAATGTGGGGGATGTTAAACAATGATAAAATGCATAATGTTAAGTGTGAATAGAGGATGAATGAGATTGTCTTGTATATTTTCTCTCGGGCTAAACCGAAATTGCATGTAATGGTTTCAGATACTGCATGGTCAGGACTATGTATGTATGGGTAACATTTTCATAAAATTTATGAGTAATTCATGTTGTTTCATATTCACAAACATTTGAAAGAAACTGTTCACTTTGTCAGTTAAATGCGTTGTTTTTAGCCCAAGCATTGTTTAGTTCACCGTTGGGACAAGTTTCCGTCGTACATTTTGCCTCACCAATGTGCCAATCCTGTTACCTTACCTCCCCACAACCCAGTGGTTAACATGTGCGTCCACGTTATAACAACGGCCTTGCTTTCATGTGTTTATTTCAGTTTTGATATAGTATGTCCCTCTGACCATGGGTGTTTTTTTTTTTGCTCTTACTTTTTCACGTTGAAAGACAAAGTGATTTTATTCATGTTTTTTGCGTGGTCATCTTCGAAGCAGGTTTATCTTATTTCGGGAGTATGGGTAGTTGCAAAATTCCACTCATAGGTTCTACTTCATTATTTACCCTCAGCTGTTTCTGTTTGTCTGTCTTACTTTTCACCAACACAAAATGACCATTATTTGTGACCACTTACTTCTCTTTACTCAAACAAACAACATTTGGGAAGGAGGGAGGAGAAAGAGGGATGAGGGAATTCTTACGGAAATAATTTCTGTCTCAGTGTATTTCAGTTTGAATCGAATCAGTGTTACCTCGATTGTCATTAGTGAAGAGTTGTGATTGTAGCTGGAAAGCGGAAAAAAGTAACAGTTTCAAGGCTTGTTTTGAAAATCGTCTTTGAAGCAGGTCACATGTAAGAACCATCCGGGGAAGTAGGTATCAAAGAGACACAGGGGCAAAACTTGCAGGGTCATTTATGACTAGAATTAAAATAGCAAAATGAAACGGTCATTTGAATCGGTAGATTTGATATCAGTCAAAGTGTACTTTCCCTTCTTTCAGTTGTCCTTCAAAAACTTTTCCTGAAAGGCACCTGTAAGGATGTTAAAAATTCAGATTTTTATTTTTTTCAACAAGAAATACTAACTCTCCTAGGTTGTCTTTTGAGTTGTCACGCGTCAGTGTGCTCATTTCAGCGTGCGTCATAAATGAAAATACCTTGCCGGAAAAACCCCTGAACAAAAGCTTTTCCCCTTCTTTGTAGAATACATGTGAATGTGGCCTTGTATAATGCCCAATAGCGCTTTTGAGCATCACTGTTTTATGTGCATCAGCAAGAGATGAATTTGTTTTGTTTTCCTGATTCTCTTTTTTGTCAGTATCGAAATCGAAATATAAAATATTGGTATTTTGCCTGTTTTCTTGGGGAAAGTTTTGTGATTTAGCTCACTCTTAAGATAATATATTTTTAATCATGTAGTAATTGTATAGATTATATGTATTTGTTTTTATGTATTTTGTTACATATGCTTCTGTACTTGGGTTTTTTAGGTTTAATTGATACTTGGGGTTTAATAACTTTTAACAAAATGTCTTTTTTATCCAATGTTTACAAATATTTTATACCCACCCCAACTCTTTTTGTTCTACTGCGGAAGAATAGGATGATGGTCATCTTTAGTTCTTCTAAATCCCAGTTCCTGTAGGCTAATTGCTGCTTACTGTGTTCCAAAGATATTAAATGACAAAAGTAGAATATGGCTTGCAGAATCTGCAAAAAAAATATTTCCGTCATTACATAGATTGCGTTTGACAGGTGGTAAAATAGCGACAAAATTACCCTAGCTTTGGTGAAAAGAAATAGATGCTTGACAAAAAGTGCTTTCTATTCAAATCTTTGAGATTAAAATGCATTTGTTTTTTTTATCCATCTCGATCTTGGTTATAAGAATAATAATGATAATAATAATAATAATTATAGTAATAATAATAATAATAATAATGATGATGATGATCATGACAATATTAATGATAATAATAATAATAATGATTGTGGTAATGTTAATGATAATAACAATTCGTCCATCAGTATCTGACGATGACCAATATATCTGCAATAGATAGTCTTTCTTCATACCAATGAAGTAAAAACTAATGAAATTGGCTATTAGGCAGGGGGGGGGGGGGGGGTGC